CACTACACAAGACCTCAGGTCATGATGCCTTCGTCGCAAAACTCTCAAAATCACTGATCATTCAGCAATTAAAAAATATCAATATACTTCAATAGCACAACTAATTCACCTTTGCTCGAAACACTTCGAAAAATCCTTACTTTCATATGCCCACGGGTATCCTTCTGTCGAAGTGGCGACTTACGTCATTCAATGCATGTAAAAAATAAATCTAAGGTCCTAGTTCTTATTCCCTCAGCTACTTACGGGTTTACCTTGTATTTTAACTAGAAAAACTATCATAAACAGAAAGAGCCTAACGTTTCCACTTATTTATGTGATAATTTTATATTATCACCCATCCCTCATTAAACCTCATTGTCTAATTCTCCAGAATTCCCCCTTATTTTGTTCCATACATCAATCAAAGCAAAATATTTGTGCTAATTACTCAGGAGTAAGATCATAAATGTTTTATTTTAAACATAAGCTATTTATCATTTAAACTATATTACCTTATTATACAATATTAAGTACATTATTACAAATATTTAGCAGATAAAGAGCAATTTGTTGTACTAAGAGTAAATCTGGCGAGAGTCTTCTTTTTACGACGACAGGCCTTTCTCCTTTTCTATTTCACTAAGCAAATACAAATATTTTCAACAATTAAACTAGCTCGACCATGGTTTTCCTTTATAGTTATTTTTATTAATGTATTTTGTCGTTCTGTACGGACTTTAAGATTATATGGAGAAATAAATTAAAGAAGATGACAGAAAATATGAAAATATTTAAAGTAATCTATTTCATTTTATTGCGAATACCCTTGTCCGACTCTCAAGCATGTATAACTAGCTCAACAGCCTAAATTAAAAAAATTATAAAAAAGCAGAGTGGACTGTATATAAGAAGTCAATCTTTCTTTCTCTTCACTCGAGGATGTATTTAGCAATTAGTTCTTGATCCGTGCGATCTAAGGGGACTGTTGCTGTTATCGGAATTGAGAAAAATAGCATTTCCGAGGCTGTTCATTTTCGTTAAATCTCAATTTTAGTGCATGCTATAGAGTCCGAAGGCCTTTCGGCTACTGAGGGAAGAAAGATGTAATAGTGGGACTAAAAACAAGAGCATGGCAGGAAAATGTTTTGGTATTTTGTATCTTACTTTTCTTAATATAAAAGTTATCATATTTAAGCTAAGCAATATTTTTAAATTTTTAAGTTAAAATTATAGGGTAAACTAATGGTTTATGTCAATCCATCGTACTTATTTCGTCTATTCTGCTTCGGCCCGCCTATTTCTTCTATCCCCTCCCTTCTCGCCTCGCTGCTTTTTGCACCATCTAAAGCCGGTTTATAAAAATGGAAGATGATGACTTGCCTAAAGAGATTCTTGATCATTTTGACTTAGTTTGCTCTCAAATTGATGTTACAAGCAATATCACTAAATCTTTCATTCGTAGTAATGCAACCTCAGTACATCCTCGAATCGGTCCACTCCGTTGTTCTTCGGGTAGGGAAATGCTTAGTAATATTGTTTTATTATGAAAAACTAAAGGACCATATATGAACCCTAATTACTGTACACCATCCTTGTCTCGAGCTTCTTCTCTTGATGAAAAGCCTCGAATTGATATGAAACGCTTTCCTGCTTCATCTAGTAAATTTGTGAGAGAAAGCAAAAGTCCAGAAACTCTTAAAATAGAGGTAATTTTTATTTTTATTTAACTTTCCCAGCTGGAAGGTATAAGGGAGGAATTGTATAAGGCATTGGGAGAAATTGCGACTGTTAAAGAAACCTCTGCTCGGATTTCAAAGAGCCGACTTGATCAAATACGCCGTTTAGAGAGTCAGTTGGAGACTGAAAGAGACATTTCTAACCGTTCTATTAGTGCTATTAAAAGCCAACTGGCTTTTCGCGAAGCTGATTATTCTTCAGTGTCAGCCGAATTACTTCGTGTCAAACAAATGCTAGTCGACATTCCTAGCACAACCTCACTATCAAGTGATCCAAAATATTTATCTGGTATCTTTACTATATTTGATGTGTATCATTCACTTTATCTAACTTTGCTATTAACCTTTTTTTTCATTTTGAGGCTCCCCAATTTCGTCTCTTTTAGCTTCTGTCAGTACTTCTCCAAGTTGCTTTATTAACTCTCGCTCATCCTTGCCAAATATTCAAGCCAAAAAAAATCAGCTGCCAGATATTCCCATTATGCCTCCACCGCAAAATCGGGATTTTGTTAGCAATGATATGCCTCTCCCTCGAACTGTTACGCCTTCTCGTCGTAAAAGCATTAAACATTTCCCTAAAACTTGGCGGATTGGACTTTGTTCTCGCAATCAAATCGTCGATAAAAGACCATCGATGGATTCTGCCGTAACTCTTAAAAAAGATAATCGATTACTTCTTTTTCCAGCCAATAGTTCTGATGAATTTTTATTTTTGCAGCCAATTGATCCTTCAATTCTCGCAAACCAAATTGGCGGTAGACGTCATTATGATACTGCTTTTGTTAATGACTCTTCCTTGTCCAAAACTCCTTCTCCGAAAAAGAAAAAAAACTCTTATCATAAATGTGCAGAGACTCTTTCATCAAATTGTCATCCTTATCCCCAGCAAGTAATTGCATTTTTTGATGAACTTTTAAGTTTTATTTTTTAATACTCTATTCGTAATTATAAACTTTCTTTATATTTTAATAAATCAGTCTCATATGAGGAAAGAGGACCTTTCACCAGAAGAAATTATTTTATCCGATGT